ATGCCCCCCACCCCCGCAGCCCGGGCGGGATGCACTCACTTGATGGCCCAGCCTTTCCATTTCACCAGGTACTCGATGCGCCCCTGCAACACACGGGGGAGAAAAGGGGGGGGAGGGGGGGAGATGTTGAGGCGGGGGGCCGGCGGTCGGGCCAGCGGAGCGGCCCAGCAGCGAGGAGCGGGGCAGGGGTTCCCGCGTCCCCACTCGGGGTGGCCCCTCACCTTTCGGATGCGGCGCTTGATGATGGACTCGGCGGCGAAGACGCGCTCCCCCACTGCAGACAGCTCCATCTTGCTGCTCCCCCTCAGCGGCGGCGGCGCCCACAGCCCATAATAATCCCGCCCGCCCGCGCGCGCCGCCCCGCCCCCTGCCCGCCGGCCCCGCCCTCGTCGTGCCGCCGCCGCTGGCTCGCGCACGCCCGCGCGCCCCCTCCCGCCGCGGCCGCGCGTGACCCCCCCCAACTGCCCGCGGTGAAAGGCCCTTAAAGGGGCCGCGTCCCCGGACCCGCGGGACGGCGGCGCAGCGGGGAAGGAAACGGAGGAATGGGGAGCGAGTCCCGCCCGGGCAGACCCCCAGCATGGCGGCGGCGTTGCCCCTTCCCGCCCGAACGGGGCCTTTTTTTCACTTAAAACAATGGCGGCAGCCGCCTCTCCTCCCGCTGCAGATGCACCGTCACCCCCCTCTCGCCAGCGGGGAAGCAGACAGCCCCAAGACACCTACCAATGGCAAAAATCAGCAATAGAGGCGCTTAAATCCTTGTTATCTTTATTTTTTTTCTCTGTTTGGCTGGCGTGCATGTGTGCCAGCACAAGGTACAGGTTTTGTGCCAGTATAAGGTCCAGTTTTTGAGCCAGTATAAGGTACTGCAAGGTAAATGGGCCAAGCATGCTACATAAACCTGTAAAAAACCCAGAAAAATGTTAAGTCATTTAGAGGAATTTCCTGCCCTGACGGTTTCTGCAAAACCCTAATTAATTTGCAGCGTGCTTTACACTCTCTTGCAGGTGCTATAAAGACAATGAAACAAAAATCATTCTCTGGGACTCAAAATGGAAGCTTATAGCCCTGCAGCTGTTGTTGTGTGGAGCTCAGGGTCCTCCCTTACCTGGAGGTACCACCTGGCACAGCTTGTTCTCCTGCTTTAATTCTCACCTGGTTTTTGGGTGAAGATAGGGTGCATTTCAGACACCCTCTGGAAAAAGTGGGACCTGTGATGAGGGCCATAGGCAATGGCCAACTTGCTTTTGCTGCTCTTTTTCAACCCACCATGATATCAGCAGGTACCTGCAGAGCACTGGTATTCCTCTGCTACCTATTCCTTAGCCGGCCTGCCAGTAAGCACTCACAGCCCCTGTGGCCTTCACTAACCCTTTCTCCACTTGTACTCACCTTCCCTTTCCACCTCTGGCTCAGGGGTTTCACCCAGAAGGAGGATATTCCAGAAATAGCCTATATTATGGCTATAATATCAATACTAGCAGAAATGGAATTCCCAAAGTCAAGACAGGCAGGTAGGAAAACTAATGTTTTCCTCGCTACCTGCGAATTCAGCCAAGATCTGTCAGAGTGTTTTGTTCTTTCTCACCTTAGCAGCCGAAATGTTGCAGCCACCACAAGCTTCCTACCTGGAGGAAAAGTGACTCAGGAGAGGACCTGCTCCCCACCACTGTGTCCCCATTTGAAGGGGGGGTGAACAGAGAAGTTGCTGAATACTGAGAGAGACAGCAGATGGACAGTCACATGGACCCTGGTCCATGAGATGCGAACAATTCAGAGAACTGAGGTGTTTCTGTGGTCAGGGACTGAACCACAGCGTGCTTCACCACTGATAATTCTGCTTTTAGGTCATATCCCTCACTTCCAGAATAGGCTGTAAGAGGCCCTTTCTCAGGTATTTGGCTTCACAGGCCAGGCAAGAACAAAACCTGAGACTCTCACTTAGAGTGAGACAAGTTCTTCTGAACTGCCCTGTTTCCCCAGATCCCACTTATTTTAATCTCAATTCTTCATACGCTTGAAAGTGACTTCAAAAGAGCAAGTCTATCACACCCATTGTGTTTTGCTTTTCACTTTTTTAACTTTGCACATTAAGTGTTCATTAACACCATCCACATTTAAATTAGCGTATTTGTTACTGTTCAGTTTGTTTAAACGACTACTTTTACATTTGTAACTGAATGTCAAGTAACTGAACTTTCAACCAGCAATATCATCCACCCTAAAAAGCAGCCACCCCTAAATTAAAAGGGACAAAAGTCTTTACATCGCTACACAAACACAGGTGCAGCAGCCAAGACTGGTGGTCTTGTCCCCCAACAGACATATGGGTCATGAACAGCACACCTCGCCTCAGGACAGGAGCACAAGGCACTCCTGATCCATGGACCAGAAGGGGCATTTCAGAGTTCCATGTGCTCTTTCTAGTTATTTTCTGCTTCTACCTGTCAGCAGAACCTTCTTTCCAGCCACAGCGACTGCTCAAATCACTGCAAGCTGCCATTGCACAGGTATTGCCTAACACTTTCATCTAACTTTTACTCTCAGAAAGCAAAATAGTAGCAGAATATCCAGCTGCTCAGGGCACTGTTGGGTGTTTCCTTTGTTTCATTCACATTTCCAGAAAAACACTTTAAAAAAAAAAAACACCTGGGAAGATGGCTCTCCCGGAAAAGCTATTGTTCACTACAGACACCGAAATAAAACATTTTTCTGGTACCTCACTGTCTGCAAGATCCCGGTGCCGTAGGATACACTGTAGCACTTCTTGCTAGCACTGGGAAACAATAAGCTTTGGGGAAGCAACACCACCTTTCTTACCAGAACCACTGCCCAGCGGTATACGGGCACAGGAGGAGAGCAGCAGGTGCAAGAATGTTTTTATGTATCTTTTAAATGGCACTTGATAATGGGAAACTCACCTGCTCAAAGCCAGTAGCTGCCTCCAGGCTCATTTCCTATGGACCTGTCAGGAATAGCAGCACTTATCTCCATGAGAACAGCTCCAAGGGTCGATCAACTGATTCCACTGCTGTTTGCTCCAGGGAGGTCACTGTTAGGAGCAGCAGATTTTGGCATGGAAACGGTCATTCCCTCACCTACCCCAGGAGTGGACACAGCTGCGCGCACCCAGCAACCCTACAGTCATCCAGGTCAAAATGGGCTGAGATTTCACTGCTGCAACTCTGGAACACACGCAAGCAAAGGCAGATCCCTCGGAGCTGACCATGTACCTCCCCACACACCAGGTACAGGTGGCTCAGCATGGCCCAAGAAGTGGTCAGAACAACCATCCCTCCAGCCCACTAACTTTTTGATGTAGCAGAGAGAGGAGAAGGCCAATTGGGTTTGTGCTGGGGCTACACTGCTGGGGTGCTATGATATCCCTGTGCCCAAAGCAGGCCCAGCTGCCCAGGCTGCTGCTTGCATTACACAAGTCCCCCAGGTTTATTGCATTCTTGATTCAAAAACAGTGGCTTGGTGAGTAAAACGCTGGAAGGAGAAGGACCAAGAACAGTGAAGGTGTGTGGCACTGAATGGACAGGACGTGCCATTGCAGGGGTCACACACACTGCATTTCACCCTATGCTTCTCAGAGTCTCAGAGAACACCGAGCTGCCCAAACCGTGTGGTTCCCCTCTTGCTGAGTGGCCTTGTTCTGAGGCATCCAAAGGGGAGAGCTGTGCAAGGCAAGCCAGCTGCACTGCACGGATCGGAGGGGTGGCATAGCAACAGATTATTAAAAAATAGAAGTTCTGCCCAGATTAAGCTTTAATCCAAGCAACACATGCATGCGAAAGGACAAGCTGTTGTGAGTTCCTACTGCCAGCCACCCTCTGCAGCATTGGCAGGGGTAGGAAGACAACCTCCAGAGTAGGCTTTCCCGTAACTCTGCACTGCAGTTTCTTCCAGCTTTACCTGACTTGCTTGCTGCTGCTGCCAGAGAGTAAGTGGCTGGCTGGAGTCCTGCTCCAATGCCATCGCTCAGCTCCAGCCACCCTGGCTCGAGGTAAGCATGCTGACTGTGCTTTGGTAACATGGGCAAGACCTAATCACACTGCCTTGAGCCATGACCAACTCAGGAAACGCACCCCATCCCCCTCTGCTTTTGCTCTGCATGTTTTTGTGATTGACATCACAGCTGTGCTCAGGTGCAGGGCTCACCCCCACCTTATGTCTATTAAAGGCATCTCGGGCAGCCCCATCCGCTTCCTGAGGTACCTCCATAAACAGCTTATCCTCTCCCTCCGCAGAGGATGGAGAGGGACACGCCTCGAGGGAGCAAGTCAGACACTGAAGTGGACTAACTGACATTTGGGATTCTCTCCAAGGAGTATCAGCAGTTCCAGTACATGGGCTCCTCGGCTAAGCCCTGCATTACCTGGGGTGAACCAGGGGTCAAACTCAGCTGTGCTCCTGAAGAGGTCCCTGGAAGCCCTGCAGGACAACCCACTAGAGGCTTCAGCATGGAGGAGAGCTGCTTCCCTGCTGGCAACCAGTGTGGATCGTGCCTGGCAGCCCAGGCCTTGCCTCAGACTTTCTCCATTCCCATAAGAGACACATGATACGGGGCACACCAGCACTCTCCTGGTGCTGGCAGAGCTGTCCTGGCACCACAGCCTTGTGCAAAGATGTTGAGAACTCCCTAAACCCAGAGCAGCAGTCACCCTGACATTGGCATTCTCCTCTTCAAATTATAATCCATCAAAGACCAACCGTCCCAGGTCACCTCTGTACAGCTCTAACTTACCCAGTGGGTTAAAAATTAATAAAAACCTGACCTCCTCCAATCAAAGTAATGAGTAATGTCAGAAACAGCCTTTTGCAGGCTCCATTCTTCATCGATCCTTTTTTACTGATCTTTCTCACGCATGCACGCACATTTTCCATTCTTTTTCCAGCTGCACTGCACGTTTATACCAATAGAAGTGACTGGTGGAAAATAATTCAGCTGTAGAATTAAAGCAAGGAGAGGTAAATGACCACACAAACAGACCAAGAGGTAAATGTCAGTTCTCATATTTAATATTTTAATAATTTTGTTTGCAACATTTACCACATAAATCATCTAAATAAATAGATGCTGTACAGTCTCTTATCCATATCAGTACAAAAATAAAACCACACTTTGTGTCAAATTATACTTGAGCTTGCCCTCCCTTTGCTATTACAATCTCCTTTTACAGCACATACTTGCTCAGAAAAGGCATTATACTCTGATTGGTTTGTTTGGAATTGGTTTACTCCCTATTTCCCCCCCTCCCCAAATACATTCAATTAGTCTGTACAAAAGCTAGAAGCTCATTCTGTGCAAAAAGGAAGCTTTCTGTGTGCAAAGACTCCAATACTCAAGCGTGCTGACGGAACAACAGCAACAACTGAAGAGACAGGAAGAAAAATATCGGGGACCCTCCCCTCTAACTGACCCTGTCATGCCCCATCTTCACCCCGCAACAGAAAGGGAGCACACCAAATCAGTGTGCTAAAGAGTCTGAACGATGTGCATACACTGAAGGAAAAGGTTGGTGCTGAAAACTCAGTGAGAGAACTAGGGTGTCGTCCCCCCACGCTGTAGAGCTGGCTAGGTAAGGACTCTCCCCTTAGCCTGCTCAAAAGGTTCTTGAGATACACAGAACAAAAGCTTCATCTAAATTATCTTATTTCTTTTGTTGCCATTCTGTTGGAGACGAGGTGAGGAAATGGCCTCTGGAAAAATCCAGCAGCTACTGAATACAGCTCCTGGTTCACCCTCCCCTCCTCTCCCCACTCCCTGCAAAAGGACAGACATCTCCCCGTTCCTCAATTAAGCTAATAAGGTGCAATTTTTCAGACAGGAAACTCTATGAAGATGTCTCTGGAGCTGCGAGATATGGTCATAGTTCCAGACTAGGACCACACCAACTGAAACTCAATTTTCCCTTTCCTCAGTCAAAGGAGGCGGGGAGGGAGGAAGCCAACCTGCACCCCAAAGGTGAGTGAGGGACTTAGCAGGTCTCCCCCACTCCCTCAGGGTGCCCTCCGTTCCTTGGCATGGCAGAGCACGCTCCCCTCCAGCCATGGTAGGGAGGCAAAGGGCTGGGTGGCAGCTCTGGAAAAATGATAAGGAGCAGCCAGCGGCCTGAAACAGATACATCTTTTGCTTTTCAAATGCCACTTTTAGACAGACGATAAGGAGTACTTAGCACTCCTAGTGCTTTGCATTTCCAAAGTGCTTCAAAACATACTTCAGATTTAAAAGCAAAAAAAAGCTACTTAACATTTTGACAGATTTGCAAAAAGCTTCTTTGTGCTGACACTACATTTTCTGGTTGAAAACCCAATAATAACAAAAAAAAGGTTTTTCCACCTCCTCCTCCAAAATCCCCCTCCCAGCCAAAACTCTACTACCCCAGTAAAGAGATAAGCTGTGATAGAGGTTCTGAGCAGTCTTAGCAGCTCTCCCTTTCAACATCTGACTGGCACTCTCAGAGAAGAACCCCTACCATCTTTGCAGGGCAGCCCACAGCAGACAGAGGCAACCTCAGCAGCAAGGCTTCTACCCCAACCTGACTTTGTAGCAATCCATCCCCTCTCTGTCAGCCCTTATGTGCTCCAACCGAGCTCCGCACCTCTCTGCAACTCCCAGTTAACTAGGGATCACCTCCTACCTGCTCCCTGTTCAGCCAGTGTACTTTAAGCAATTAAGAGTGAAAGAGGTGGAAGAGAAAAAGTGATCATCAATACAGCAAGTGCTGGTTACATGAAAAGGATTTGAAGGGTCTGAACTCCATTTTAAGTGATTGCTTCTCTCTCTCCTTCTAATTGTCCCGGCACTGTTTTTAGGTCTTCCCATCTTGACCACCTGCTTGGGTGGAATCTAGGTGGTTCAACACCCAGAAGGTTCACACTTCCACTGCGAGGGTAGTAAGTTCAGCAGACAGAGGACAACGTAGCGTCTTGATCATAAGCTATTGTCTCAAAACAAGTTTATCATACCCTTCAGGAAAACCTTTATGACAGGCATGGCAAAAGCAACACGTTCCTTTTACCTGTATGTGCCAATTCTATGCATTCCCATGTAGAAGTTACCCTATGCAAGCTGTTAACGTACACATCTCCCTTGCATTCCCAAATGGTAGAAGACAGATACATAAACATAGCAATCACCACCTCCTCTCCACAAGGCCCTTGCAGAACTCCAACAGCAGATGCAAGGGATCAGTTTCACGACAAGTTCTTTGTTTCTAACACACCTTCTCTCTCAACTACCAGCTTACCCAAAGGCCTGTCCTCAATCACCTAGTGAGAGCAACTCCGAAGCAACTCTATTCCTATCTTCCCTGACTGGCAGCTGCCCCTACTATCTTCCCAGAAAGGCCCACTGCCCTCTTCTTCCTAGGCTGCAGGTAAGCCAGGGAGGAAGAGAAGATGGGTAGATACCAACTAGCTTTATAAAAGGAGGTTTCTGCACTTTCCCTACTTCAGAAGACAAAAAGCTTAAAGCTTGAGAGGAGAGGAAGGGGTGGAGAGGTGGTGGTAGACTTTGCTTTGCTTAAAACACAGATGTGGCTGACAGCCCCCACTGTCTTCCGCACCCTGGCCTCTGTTGCGGCTACCACAGAGGGTCCTGCATGAGCTACCCTGCCTATTTTTTGACCCGTGTGAGGCCTCCCTTCTCTATTCCAGTGAAACCATCAAGCAGCACTAGCTGGCGTACAGCAGGAAACAATACTGGGGCCAAGGGCCTCCTGTGAGGTGAACAAACAATTTTATACATTCAGTCACAAAACACCAGAGGAACAATTCCAGACAGTTTCACAACACTAATAACAAAAAAAAGCCATTCATTTCTCAATAAGCTTCTCTATGGCTGAGGCTCTGACATAAACAAGAGTCAATTCACTAACAAATTTGGGCTTATTTTGGCAAATGGAACTGCTTTTGGGTGTTCTCACAAAAATATCCTGGCCTTGCTTGGAAAAAAAAAAAAAAAGAAAGAAAAAAAATCACCTTGGTCTGACTTCACAAGCAGAAGGGCCCCCAAGCAAATGCAAGACAATATGGAGCATGCAGGAGCTATGAGGCTACTTAATGCCACTATTTACGCATTAAAACTTGCTGTTCCAAGGCATCACTTATATATCAGAGCAATAACATCTAGTTTATAACCATTCAGGAACAGAGGAATATATACCTCACTTTCCATGTATTTTTTTTAAACACAGTGTTAACAATAAAGGCTTTCCAGTCTCATGAAGCCCCTCAGTTCTGCCATATATACAGCGAGTTCACTTTGAGATCTATGAAATAAAAACCTCTGTTTCCCAAATGCTGCTGGTAAATTCTCACATGGAAACAGTTCTAAGAATGACTATTAGAACCGTTGTTCTCTGAGAAGGTTGCTTCTTGTGTATAGTTCAGTAATTTCCACTGGCTGAGGTTTGTTTTTCTTGTTTACAGCCATGGAGCCAAACGAGGTATGGGAGAGTTAGCCCATTTCTATTCTCAGCTTGTGCTTCAAATAGAATTATTAAACTCAGCTTCAGCTGGATGCTATTCTGGCTCTTCTAATCAAACGGAATGCTTAACAAAGCTTCGAGCACAGCATCTGATTTTCACGATATGTTAGTACAAGAGGTCCCAATTCAATTTTCATGTTTTGGGTTGAACTGGCAGATGGACAGTAGTGGGGAGAAGAGACAAACCCAGACAACCTCTCTTGCCATCACTACTAAAACCCCCATACATCTCTACACCTGCAGAGGTGGAATAAAGCTAATTTTAAACTCCCTGAAGACCGGCTCTACCAAGGAAATTTACAACAATATGTCACCAGACAACGTGGAACAGAGCCATGTTTTTTTAAAAAGATCAGGAGAAAAATCTTCTCGAAAAGATCTTTAAGATAAACAAGAATTCATGAATGTCAAAAAAAAAGTCCACGCCAACGAAGTAACTGCTTAGTTTCCTACCACAAACTCCTCTTCACATCCCCCCTCCCCCAAACCCACGCACATGCAGCTTGTTGCGTCTTAACTCGATTATAGTTAACTCCTCATTGACACAAAGCAGCATTGCAGCCAGGTACTTTGTTCCACACTTTGTGCAGCGAGATGATTAGTCACCAGCAGAACACAAGCTAGCCTGATCCAAAAAATGATTAAGATATGAAGCTGTGGGTGGATCCTCTTTGAAAGACCACCACAGGTCTTTGAAAACTCCACTGCAAGAGGAAGAAAATATGTTTAAAGAAAAATGCCAAAACAAAGCGTTGAGAAGTGTCAGCTGGCGAGTGGAAAGAAAAGCAGAAGATGGAAATCTAGTTTATTAGGACAAGCTCTTTCCTGCCGCAGGATTAGTATTGCTTCCGATGTCAGCTGAAGCCAGGAACTTAGTAAATAGGAAGCTTTTTTTGGTGTATTTGTACTCTGAGATGAAGACATGACAAAGGCATCAGTTGCTGAATTAGAATAGAGAAACCAAATCCTATAAATGCCACAAAGATCTAGCAGGGTGAGCTGCAGTTCAAAACATTTTTTAAAAAAAGCTAAAATATTATGCTTCTGCAACCATCACTACCTGACCTGCTACAACCCACAGGAGTGGACTCAGCCATGTGCTGTGTCCACTGGCCACAACAGAAGAGAGATGCAGGTATTCAGCACATTTGGCAGTTGTCGGGAAGAGGGTGGGTGTAGGGGGGGTGATAATAACAACACCGTCTGACCCCACATCCTGCAAAAGAGGGTGCAACTCCAGACACAGAAGCCTCACTCTGGACACCCACGTTCAACAAACATCCTGCGCCTGCATGCTTACCTCATCAGTTTGCCCTTGCTAGCTACTGCAAGCTTCTTTCCTACTCACTCTTCCTCCCACCTCATAATTCCCCCCCAGCTTCCACTTCTCACCCTCTCAAATTTCTCCATAATAAAACTCCCATCTTACTTCTTTTGAGAGACAAAAGGTCAGCCCAAGAATTCAAGACCTTCCCAGAGGTCTTGAAACTGGTGTGATGCAGTGGAAGACACGCTTGCTCAAACAGCTCTGAGATGGAAGGGCAAATACTAAATCTACACTGAGCTGCCATGTCCCATCTGAGGTAAAACCTGCTTTTAATAAAAACCATAGGGGCAGTCCAAGAACTTTGCAAAAAGTAGATGTTTGGAGGACCAGAAGCCTCAGAGCTCAAAAATTCTGCAGGCTAGCAGCCAAGCCCCTCATAGGAACACACTGAGGATTTCCACCGGTGGTCTCACAGCTCAGAAGGCTCATAGATTCATTTAGAATAAATACAGCATATAAGAGATGCTTCAGGTGGGGTGGGGTGAGGAAACAAAGAATTTGAGTACAGAAATCACGACAGTAGCCAATGTTACCCTGCAGACTCTGTTCTGCAGTTCCCTCTTCAGACTAGCTTACTTTTCTTGCCTTCCATAGGAAAAGGTCTATATTTAAAAAATTAAGTTATTTAAATAAATTTTGCTTTTAAAAATGGAAAAGAACATGCATGTGCAAGAACAGATGCTATGCTAAACTACCAACTCAAAATACAGCAATTCTTCAAAAACCTCAAAGTGTCACAGGCAGTCCAGCACAAGGCATTTTTAAGTGCAAGATTAGGCAGGGTCTATTGAAATGCAGACCACTTTCCTTGGCAAAGATTTTTAAGCCTTCCAAGGGGAAGTTCCTATCAGCAAAGTAGGATCACAGATACTGTGAGGAGACTGGAGTCATGGAAGAATATCACTCAGGCAGTATAATCCAAGAATTCTCATTGCTAAGAATTAAGAATTTTTTTCCCCTCTTCAAATCTAATGCATGCCTTCCCCACATGTTGTTTACCTTGGATCTCTCTAAGGGATACAAAACCAGAATTTGCTGCTAATCAAGGTCCATTTCTAGCTCAGTTCTGCCCAATTCCTGTGTCCTGGGCCTGTGCCAGTTTCTTGAATATCTTTGCAGTGCCAGGCAATGCTTCAGTTGTCCTATTAGCCCCTCCTCCCAGGGGAGAGGAGTCAGTTTTCAACCAACTTATTACCACAGATTCAGGGCAGCATTTGTTATTAATACTGAATTTGGCAAAGGGTAAGAAGACCCCACTTTCCATAACGCATTCCTCACACAGCAGAGTCGAGCCTGGAAATCCTGTTTAGCATATACAGAATGGTATGCCTTGACTGTGCTGGGTTTCTGAGCTTTTTATGAGGGCAAATTGAATTTGCGTTGCCAATTTAGATTTCAGAGATGCATTTCAGTCTTTCCGCATGATCAACAATCAAAGGGAGAAACCTCTGCTGTCTATATGGACCCGTGCTGCAAAGACTGACTTACCACAGACAGGCAAATAGGATTCTGAAGTCCTGACAGCAGGCCACAGGGAAAACAGCACTGGAGAGAAAGTCTTAACAGGCTGGAGTTATCTACACAGGTAGGATCCATTGCGTCTCACTGCTGCAGGAAGAGAGGGAGGAGGAAGGTGGGAAGAGCAACGCACAGAGATGTATCTTTATCCAAGGGATATCAATTGCAAAACAAGGCAGCAGGCTAGAGATCCAGCTCTCTTTCCACCTCCACATGCCCTCTCCCCACAAATGCAGCTGCCGCCACTTGACAGGATAAAAGGCGAATTGTTCGGCTTGCTGCTTTCACATCAAGGAGGGGAGTCTTTGCCAGGGAAAGGGCTGTCAGTTTTTCGGCTGGACAATGACAAACACACCCCCCCTACACTGCCCTTTTTTGCGTATCTGAAAGGGGGAAAAGGAGAAAAAAAAAAGTCTCTGTAAACATTTTAAGAGGAGACATTTTGGATATTTTTTTTTCTCTTAAGGGATAACATAACCCTTCCCTAGCCCCACCCTAAAAGCACTGGTTTTGGGGAGCACTACAAACAGAGATTCAGAACTGTGCACTCCGGTCTCGAAAGAAGCCCTCAGCCACTTGTGCTTCTCTGAAAGTGACGGTAATGGAGTTTGCCGTGATGTCTGTCACTGTCACTTCACTGGGGGGCACAGTGGGGATCCAAGGGAGACTGGCATCCACATCTGCTGCAGAAGGAAAGGCAGATAAGAGCATGTTAGTGAGAGGAAGGTGAGGGAGAAGGAGGGAGGAAGCAGAGAGGGAAGGGAAGGATGGAAAAACAGTCTCCTTTCTGACAAATAGTAGGTGAAATCAGCCTGAGCCTGCACGTACAAAGCAAGAAAGAGCACGTGCAAGCCCTCCCGTCAGAGGCTAAGGGAAAATGGGAGGATCACAGCAGGACATAATGGGAAAAGGAAAGAGTAGCAAACGTGTCCAGACACACAGTGGCATCACAGCAGCCACAGAGAGGTCAAAAGACCTGCAAAACCACTCAGCTCATCTAACCATCCACAATTCCCTGATACCTCTCACCCCATCTCAACCCCTAATTGGTTTTGTGTCACCAAAGCACACTCATCCCACTGTGAGCTCACCTGCTTCTAAATGCCCTATCCTGCTGAAAAGCCAAAAATCAAACACTCTAACACACGCTCTTCAGATACTCGTATAGGAGTCAAAGGGATCCAAAATGGAGGGTCTGCCTTCATAGTGCACCTGCAATGCAGCCTGGGTGTGATTCTCTCAAAAATCTGCCAGAAGTGCTCTGTGGAAAGGCTGATCTCCCTTTCTCATATCCTTCCTTTGCTTCCAGACAGCTCTACACAGGAAACCCAAGCACCCTTGCACTTTCTCACTGTATGAATAATTATTAGTCCTCTGCCACCTAAAGCCCCACTTCCCCCCAGCCCCCAGAGACTGCCACATAAACAGAGAAAGGGGAAGGAAAACACATCCTCTCCCTGTCATTCTACTTGTACTATATCCCTTGTGATCCCAACCTGGGTAAAGAGCAAGTTCCCTCAAGAGTATATTTCCTGGCTTCTGTCTCAAGCACCTGGGGTCCCTACTCATCTCAGAACAATAACAATAATCCCCCCTAACAATAGGGGGGGATATGCAGACCATATGTCAAGGGGAGAACAAAAAGAGTTTTACAATTCTGTAGTGCCACTCACTCTTATGATCTCAAAGTGCTTTAGAGCCCCATGCTTCTAGGGGAGAACAGCCCCACACACTTGTCCACTGCCAGGATGTAACACTGGGCTCCTCTGTGCTACTCCCATTGCTGCCTCCCTGGATTCTGGGCACTGTTCCAGTCCCTCTCAGAAAGGAAGAAATAGCTTTGATTTCCAGAACACAGCCCTCTCCCTAAAATCTTGCCTAATCCAGCCTGGCTAACAGCTACTCCTAGCAAGGAGTAACAGGATTCCCTCAGCTACTACAAGCAGCATAAGCCCCGTTTTTCCACTCCTCGGGAAAGCTACGCCTTCAGAAGCTCTAATAATGCAAGGATAGAGTTTCCCTGGTAACTGAGAGCAACACACACATCCCACAGCCCTCCTGCACAAGATGCTGGTATCCCTCCACAAAATGCCAAATGTGCTTGGACATCTCCTGTGCCCACACTCATGCTGCCTACTCAGTGGGATCAGGCAGGAGTTACCATCCTCACTTCATCTCTCTCATCCCCCCCTCACATGGCCCTACAGCAAGAGACTATAGAGGAGTGTGGAGAGGAAAGGGAAGGAGGGGGTAGGAGAGTGCACTATGGGTTCCTAGTGGCATTTCTGTACGCTTCTCAGACCACCACTATGAGAGGAGTGCTGGTGTCCCAGCTTGTCCACTGCCAGCCAAGCTCCTTTGAGCCAAGCAGCAGGTTGAGCACGTGTGGATATGTGGACAGAGGCAGAGTTCATCACTATCACACCTGTGTGTCACCTCTGCTGGGAGGAAACTGGAAGAGGGGAAAAATGTGCAGTATCTTCTGCATGTTTTCTAACATTGGGAGGGGCATCACGGACGTAGGACTACAGAGAGGCAATAGCACCAAAAAAAAAAGATTAATCTGTGCTCTTCAAACAAGGAAGAAACCTTGCAAACAAGAAGGCCATAATATGAGCCAGTGAGAGCCGCTCTGAGAACCTGACCTAAAGCACAATCCCAGGAGGAGGTAACCGAGGAGGAAGAACACAGACTATCCTTCACATGCCCCAGAACTTCACAGCCAAGGGGTGTCTGGCCTTACCTTCTTTGCTGGTGTGCTGCATGGCCTCCCAGTCCTCAGGGCCCTGCCTGGCCTCTAGGCCGACTGCATCATTCAGGAAAAACTCATGCCTGCAGTTTCGGTTCTCCAGGCTCGCCATGCGGGGGAACTTCTTCCTGGACAGTCGCAGGTACTTCTGGTTTTTGCGTTGCTTCCGGAGAGAGAATGGCAGGACTGCTCCCCCAGTCTTCTCTGGGAACTCTGCCTGCCCTGTCTTGGCCCCTGGCAGGCTACTGTCTCCTCCTCCAAATCTCCGTGCAAGAGAGAAACAGAGCTTCTCCTTTCCCTTATGGGCACTCCTCAAGTCCATGCCATACAGCCGCTGCCAAGACATCAACACAGAAAGGGTCAGAGCGGACATCTGATCATACAGGCAGGGCTCCCCCCTGGGAGCCAGGAAACTATTCTTTGTTCAGCCCCTGAGCATCTAGATGAGCTGCTTCTAAGGTGTGCTGCTTCTACAACACCGTTTCTCTCACCTCTTCAACTGCCATCTAAGCTCTTCCTAATACATGCTTCCTAGGATTGGCTGCTTTGCTTGGGAACATGCTGAAACTCTGCTTCCAAACAGTGGCTATCTTTGACTTGATGGAAAGTTCAGATTCAGCATAAAATTGAAAGAACATACAAACTAGGTAACCTGCAACCACTCAGGCCCTTTATAAAATTCCAGTTCAGAGAGCAAGAGCTGTTGTTTTATTTTGTTTTGCTTTTTAAAGATAAATTAGCTAGCTCTTCAGCTAACAGGTTAAAACTATCTGCCTAACCACTGATTTCATGGTGGTGTGTTTGCTTGTTACCTCCAATTCTGTCCATGCAACAACAAACAGAGAGTTCCCACCTCCCTGACAGCAGAGAAGCAGCTAAGAGTTAGGAATACACAGAAGAGCAAGAGGCTACCTGCAGTAGGAGGCGCTTTGGTTTGGGGCCTCTTTTCCTGTACCCTGATGCACGGTCTCTCTCCTCCCTGTGAAAGAGGAACACAAATCAAACTAAATACTAAATACCACAGCATAAAACCTAGTTGGGACTTCAACCTTTTGCAGCACATCTTCCTCAATTTCCTTCACTAAAACCCAATGGTGACCAGGGTGGGCTTGGAAAACATCCCAGAATTTCTTCCTGTAGGAGTGAAAGCCTTGCAATAGGGGAATTTCTCTGACACAGCTGATGAGGGATGGGTTAAAGAAACTTATTGCCTCACATCACTCCAGTCCAGCTCTGAACTTGATTAAAACCTGAGATTGATGGTTCTTTGGCTCAATGGTGCCAGTTCTTTGCCTCATTTCCTGAACAGTGCCAATCAAAGCTGCTTTAATGTTGTCTTGTCTGTTTCAACCAACAGCAGGGTACCGAAATCAAGCAGGATTCATTGCTATACATCTCATCTTTGACTTACGTAGGGACAACAGGGCTCTTTATGCATATAATGAAATAAAGACGGTATATCTTTTCCTGTGTTCAGGGAGAGAAAGAACACGCGCCCTTACTTTTCTTCATAAGCCACTACCAGGCGAGGGTCCAAGATATGATCCTCTGGCTCCCATGTGCTGTATCTGAAGAAAAACATAAGGAATAAAAAGTAAACAATACTTAAAAGAAACATTCTCTCCACAGGCCTGCTACCAGTGTGCTGCAGCCCTGGATACTGTCTTCACCAGGGTCGGTGGGGCCTGCCACAACATTGCGAGAGCTCTGAGGAATCTCAGCCGTTCCCTCCCCAACTTCCCACAGACACCACCTCCCCTTCCCAAAACAGGCAGGGCCAACCGTCAAGCAGCTCTTTGTAGGAAAACAGGGAAGACTTTCCTCCCTAGGGCCCCCGCTACACTGTTCGCAAAGCCTGTGCAGACACTCACAAACTGATTTTAAGTCCATGCCTAAAGAAGGTTTCATCTGCAGCATTCCCTCAAATCCAAAAACCCCATGGAACAATGAGATGTGACCTGATACTGCTTTCTGAAAAATAGGTCTCTCTTAATTTAGAGTGCTCAAAGAGTAAGTACGCTTTCTCACCTGCATTATTAATTACCTCTAATCACTGAAGCCGAAAGTATTCATTTAAGAATTTAATTTTTCTCCACTGATGCCGTTCAACCAAACATGTTCAGACCTGGGCCCTGAGGCAAGCTGATGGCCACTTGCCAATGCCTCCTCCACCAGCTCGGCTCCCCCTGTGGGTTGTTCCTATGGAACAGAGCTCATCGGTACTTCCTACCGGTGCAGAAGGAACCATCTGCACTGCGGGCAGGGCCACCAGCACTGCTCCAAACAGGCTTCATGCTCTGACAGGAGCCTGTGAACAGCGTCACTCACTGCCCCAGCTCCGTCCTTGATAGCCAGACAGCTGTGACAAGAGCCAGATCTCAGAAAAGGACTGAACCCATCCAGCAGGCAACTCCAAAACTGGTTGCCAAAGAGTACACTTGCACTTAACACCAGGGAGAGGTAGCCAAAAATTCCCACTGTGGAAGCCGAAAGGATCACAAGGTGGTCCTTGTGGCATGTTTGCTTCTAAGAGATCATGCTTGCACAGAAAAGATGGGTGGCATGTCTCTACTGTACAAACTCTAAGGCAAAAAGGCAAGTCTGAAACTCCAAATGCCTCAGAACACTAATTTTCCTGGAATGTGAGGTCCAGGCCTGGAGGTAGAGCCCCTTCCAGACCCCAGGAAGGAGGACCAGAGAGGAGTCACATCCAGGTGTGCAAAGGTGCATTTATATCAGTGCCTTTAAAAGCGAGAAAGCATTTTAGGATGTTTACATTTCTGGATGAAGCACAGGCTGCACATGAGAGCACACGATACATGCCTATATGTACACAGGGGAGGTGGTTTAGGAATGCTTTTCCCTTTTATCTCTCTATTAGAGAGAAGAAAGGTACTGAAAACCAGGAACATTCCTGGAGAATGGGTCTAGAAATGAAAATACAATTCTTTTACAAAAGGGAGAAATAAAAATATGAAATTCAGATACTCCAAGGTGCACTGTACATCAGAGTTAAGAGCAGACATCTTCATAACCAGCTGATCTCTCCCTCCCTCCTTTGCTCATGCCTCCTGCAGCAACCTGACTGTGAGCTGTCAAAGCCAAGATGATGTTTGAAAAGAGGAAGGTTTCCTCCCAGCTGCAGGGATTCTGGCACTCATCCTACAAATTTAAGAAAAATAATACCACGAGAGGGGAAAAAAGTCATCAGATTGCTTTCACAGGCAGGAGAAGAAAGGGAATTTGCTTATAAAAACCCCTGGTGGGTGTAGCCGTTTTCTCCGCAGTTCAGATTCTGGCTTCGCTGCAGTAGCAAAACACTGCATTTAAAAAAAACATGGTTGAATTTACCACGCGCGCGCGCACACAGAGCTTTATATATGGGTACACACAGCCCAGGCTGCAGCAAACTGCAGAGAGCAGGCACTCTGGAAAACATAGATCATATGATCTTCCTTCCCCCTCCTTCTACTCCTCCTCTTCCCCCTCCCCTCTTAACTCCAAGACAAGTTGTAAACAAGCTTGTAGCTAGAATCAGATTGTCACTCCTCCATTCCCTCACTCCAGCAGTGCAATCCAGAAATCTGAGGTGCAGGGCATGAACAAGAATTTTTTATTAAAAAGAGGAGGGAAAAGTGAAATAAATTACACATGAAAGCAGTAAACTACTGACCTATCCTTATTTCCTTCTATGATGCTTCCAGTGGGATAATAGGTACAGAGATTACAAAGAGCAATGCAACAAGGCTGGGGAAGGGAACGAAGAGAAACAGGACATGGGATGAGCAAACAGACAAAAAGATGCAAACACCTTGTGGTGCTGCATGCTATCCCGGGTATATGTAAGTTCAGAAACAAGGAACAGAGACTGCTACTGGGATGAAAGTGACTTCAGTGCTCTGAGAATCTTAGTTTTAATAACTCAAACCATTGAGTAAATAGTTAAAATGCTCTTCACATTCGGAGTTTGGGAGAAGAGCGAAGGTGCTTGGACATGTCATAGCATCAAAAGTAGAGAACCTTGACATCACCTTGCTCGCTGAGGAGCTGTGCTTTAAATTCCCAGAAGAGTTTCTATCTCCCCTAGAGTTCCAAGGTGCAGGACAAGGAAAGGCAGCAGTTAAGAATAAAGGCTGCTCTGTCCAAGGAAACATTACGCCATGCCTCAGCCCACCTTCTTGACAAGGGACTTTATGAGAGGGGGACCTCAATGCATTTGTTCAAAGGCGAATGGGATAAACATCAGTATTCTGGCCAGAAGCGGATGGGGCCTCACAGGCTCCAAATACGTGTCCCACCCTCTATCACCGATTAAATAAGACTTGGCTCCTTAAGGCTGAAGCAGTCCAAGAAGTGACCCTCACTACATGGCAGCTGGTGTTCAACAAGTGCACAAGGTTACTTCGACAGCAGGACTTACAGTCAAGAATAAAGTCACCCTCTCCCACCACCACCAGATAGGGGAAGTTGCTTGTATTTACATATGCCCTATAAGCATAAGGATTAGGCACAAGGATTGGGCATGTAGGAACACATTTCAGCTTCTTGGACACCAGGTACAATCTGTCAGAACCATCCTAGTGGGCCCTGCTTTGCAGCTGCAAGGCCGAACCCTAACAAGTGGCCCCCTTTGCTTAGCAACACACAGAGCAACTGCATGTGAAACACTGTTGTACCCACCCACGTTGTGTACGTACACACACAATCACAAACAGAAAAGCAAAAACAGGGCCCATATGGGTTGGCCAGGAGGCTTTTCTACCAGACGGCTAGCTGACATAGTAATATTCTCCAGTTACCTAATCTTTCTAATCTCAAAGCATTTTACAGACTATTTAAGCACAGACCAATCACTCTTCTTCAGAGGCAGCTGCATTTGAATAAGAGAAGTATCTGTAAACAGTGCAGAGCAATGCTGAAAAAAAAAGCCTTTTTTCCCCCCTTTTTGCAATGTAGCAACCAAAGTAAAAGCAGAAAAGGCACTCATAAAAACAGAAGGTTTCAGACAAGGAAATGAAGGCATGGCGGTAATGTTCAAGGGGCAAAGATCACCTGCATTTGGCTACAATCAATAAATCTGAAACATTGCCCCTCTCTGTTGGTGAACTGCAGAAGGGAAGCAGTAGGACAACCAGACAAGACCATCAACATGTATTCTATTTTAAAAGGCTTCAGACAGCTCTAAAAATAAAGTGGGGTCCTCTTGGTGCTGACTCAGAAAAGAAGGAGCCATTCCAAGTTCAGAAGAATCTGGGTTCTTTGTTGAACTCATAATGAATTTAAAAACATTTGTATCTAGAAAGTATCTCAATGAAATATTTCAGTGGTGGCAAAAACCAGTCTGAATAGACTGGCATGCAGTTTGTATTCCTTAGCTGCCAATTCACAAACAGATTTGGGTTTGGTTTGTGGCTCTTTGGTTCTGTTTATTGTTGTTGAAATGAGGCACAAGTGATTACCCATCATGAATGAGATGCTCAATTGCAGAGACACAGTGTAAGCTATTACTGAATATTAAAGTCAAAAAGACAAGTAAACACAACTTACTTTGGGGGCCATCCTTTCCACTTCACCAGGTATTCTACTTTCCCCTGAGGGTGGAAAAAGGAAGAAGAAAACAGATGAACTCTGCAACAAAATACGGGCTACAGTATGAAATGCAACCAATCAATGGGACTAAACTCTGCAACCAAAAAGCTCGTTTCCCATCACTTTATTTTCAAAACAAAGACGCTTCCTCATTCAACTACACTTGATATACCTTTTTCCCCAGAATGCAGTGGTGTTTAAGCATGCTTGCACTCCCATCAGCTTGGAGCACAGCTTTGCAGAAGTCTTGCAGGCAGAACACTAAAAGTCAACCAGACAGTAATACTGAACCATTCCCACATTTACAGACAATCCTACAAGAAGTCAGCATGCATAAATGCAAGAGGCAGATGTATGCCAGAAGCAAGTGTCAGATGAATATTTTTTTTAAGCAGAGAGAAGAAACACGGTACTTCAGAACCTATGAAGCATCTCTGACATGTTCCTTTCCATTTGCTACACGCTCTACTTAAACCCTGTTCCATCCATCACAGGCACTCATCTTTTCAACCCAAGCTCACAGCTGAAGTTCAGTTATCCTTTTACTTGCTCACTCTAAGTACAAGATTTAAAAACAAAAAGCCATAAAACCTGCAGTGATTGGAAACCGTGCTCAAGGGCTCAGTGAGCAATGCGTACAACTATCAAAATGTTTAATGTTACGCTGAGGGGTTTGTTAAGCGCTTTCCAAAGCATGGCACAGGCCTTCGTGGTGTAGGACGACCACTCTCCAAGAGGCACTGCTGCAGCCGCAGACACCTTTACAGGAGCGCAGCAAGGAAAGCTCTCGGGTACTCCAGCTAAAGAACTGGTTTCGTTTTCCTCATGGGGGGGTTCGTTCATCAGCCTCCCAAGACTGGAAAACACTGCCCTATAAGGAACTTTCCACCGGAGGATCTCTACACACTGCATGCCTACAGGTTAATCCTTGCAACACCCTGCGGGGCCCGGAGGGCTTCCACGGCCGGGAAAACGGAGCCACGGGAGCCTTCCCAAACGCTCTCCGGTTTGGGCTCTTCCGTCTGCTGTCACCAGCGCTCATCCTGCAGAGGCCGAACCCCCCGCACCGACAGCTCCCCCTGTGCCCCGGAGACCCCCGAGCCAACACGTGTCCCCCGCTCGCCAGCCCCGGGCAGGTGCCGGTGCCCCCGCGGCGGCGGGGGGGGACGTGACGGGGACAGGGACGGGGACCGGGCGGCCGCGCGCGCACCCACCACGCCCCCCTCCCGGTGCGCGGCGGGAGGGGCGGGGGGGATGGCCCGGTGCGCTCCCCCCGCCCCGCCCCACCGCTGCCCACCTTCCGCACGCGCTTCTTGCGGATGCTCTCCACCGCGAACACCTGCTCCCCGATGGCCGACAGCTCCATGCGGCGGGAGGGACGGCGGCGGGCTGTGCCTGTGGCTGTGTCTGTGGCGGCGGCCGCTCCCCGCCGCTCCCCCTCACACGCCCCCTCGAGCGCGGCCGCGCCCCCGCCGCCGCTTTAGAACCTGCGCAACGTTTTCCCCGGCGCGCGCGCGAGGGGGCGGGAGCGGGGGGCAGGGAGGGAGGCGGTGCGCGAGGCCGCGGCGGGAAGCGCCTGGGGCGCCGCTCCTGCCTCCGTCCTCCTACAGCCCGGGGGAGCGCCGTGAGGGAGCGCTACCCGCCGCAGCGGAGCAGTGGCATTTGCGGGCGTTTTCCACAGGAACACGGCCACCGGCGGTCGCGTGCCGCCGGCGGCGGCGGCGGCGGCTGGGGAAGCGGTGGCTGGCAGTGTGGGGGCGGGAGCAGCGCTGCGGCAGGAACCCGGCATGGCTCCTTTGCCCGGGCACCCGCTGCAGGTGCGTCGCCGCGAGGTGCCTGTGACGACCCACCCTGAAGGGGAAGGGAATGCCCGAGGTTCATAAGTGCTCGCGGCGGAAAAGAACGACAAGAGCCGGAGGGCCCGCAAGCAATCGGAAGGTTTTATTATTAAATTACACACTTGGAATGGAAATCAGTACGTTAGTCCCCTGACCTACTGTATAAGCACACGGCAGTGGGTTTTGGATAAAAGGGTAAGATGGAAAGGAAGAGAGAAGAGATGAATTAAAGTGGGGGGAGAGTGAAAGAAGAAGGAAGGAAGGAAAGAAAAGGAATAGAAAGAGACAGAGAAAGAGAGAGAAAGAAAAGAAAGGAAGAGAGAAAAAGAAAGAGAGAGAGAAAGAAGAGAGAGAGA